ATTCCTGCTTTCCAAATTAAAGGCTAACAAGCTTCTTTGATTCACAGGTTAAATTATTTTCTTTCTTCGCCTTTTTGAACAAGTTGGTAAAAGCATTTTTCCTGGGGGGAAATGGGATTTTTTTTTTTCTTCACTTGGTCTGAGAAGGTAAAAAATTTTATTTATCTTCAGCATAACTTTTTGTTACTACAAAGAAGGAAATGCCCCCTGAAGCCCATCACTTTATGTTTTTTTAGTTTAATGATACAAACATCATCTTCTGAAGAATAAAACTATAAACTCATTAGTAGCATTTCAGTTCTCCCTGCTGCAGAAGCCTGGAGGAAAGAAGCCTTAATACAGAAGTTTACATCTTAAAACCAAATTATAACATCCAATTATACGCAATCTTTATATCTCGAGTTAGGATTTCTCCCTGTTCATTCTGAAAGACGCTTGATCTTAATTGGCTTTATGCCTTTCCACCTCTGTCATGATCCATTTTTGCTTTAAAAGGCGAGAAGCTGGAAAGTGGTATTTCAAGGTAGGTCTGGAGAACATAAGTCTTTATGAATGTAATAAATATATTTAATAGGAAAGTTATCTATGAGCAATATAATGAAGGAGTATCCTAATGTAGACAAGACTAATATATTTACACAAAAAATAATTAAATAGAACATATTCAAATAATAAACTTAATTAACTTCCCCTAATAGTCATAAGCAATACATCATAGAGTGGAAAAAATAACTGGCCTATGGATATATTACCAAATAATTTGACTGAAGAATCTTAGGGTTTATATTGACTTTGGGTTTCAGATCTGCAGGTTCTCAGAGCAGCAAAGGGTTAGAACGCTATAGCAGGAGACAACAACATCAAATGTGTCCCTGTTTAACTATGTACTGTATTATTATATAACACTTTGTTACTAGTGAAAAACACATGAATTATGCAGCACACATATTGTAGAAGAAGAAACCAAATGAGAAGAAATGGAGTGCACAGTTAAACTAAAATAGATGTATAAATGGTGAGCCACTGAAATAAAGTTCTACCAAGAAACCTCCTCTAAGTTGCTGCAACACAGAAGTCATAAAAATTCATGTGAATAAGCTTATCTATTGAGAGAAATCCACATAAAGCCAAAAATATACATCATCCATACATCAGATGTGGACTCATCTGAAAGGAGATCACAGAAGAGTTTATCTGAAAAAGAAATCCTGTTCTGTGACTAATGTCTGGTCATTTCCCCTTAAACCTATGAGCAAATGCCTTCCGAACTCCATTTAATGACTTAGAGGAAAGAGGACAGATAGATCCATTACCTTTACAAAAAAAATGAAAGGTAAAGAAACCTTTGTTTGGAACCCCATCTCCCACAACCAAAGCAGCAAATGGGATGTATTTTTCTATGTGAATTCACACTTTATCTGATTTACACTTATCTTTTGCTTTAATCACTACTTAAACCATTTTAAAACACAGTTAAAAATAATCTACCTCAGCAAGTATTCAGCTAAAATTTGACATAACATCTTAGTAACTGCAAAAATATCTACAATATTTATGATTTCTGTCAAGAATTTTCCCCGTCCTTTAACACTTAGTAAAGTGACTGGGTACTGCAGTATACCTTCTATATCAATAAATGATTCAGAAACAGATGGTATAAGTTCCATAAACATTTCACATAAAAAAAATCAAGCCAATGTTCTTCCTTATAAGGAAAAGCCAGCCTCAGGCAACCCTGGATGCTAACTTTAGCAGCATTATTTTGGAGAAAAACAACCTTTAAGAAAAGTAGTTGTGTTATTTTTCACATGATCAGCCAAAGGTCACCTTGTGTTGTATGTGGTTGTTAAGACAGCTCTTTGTTCAGCTCTGATTTGTAAATGCCTGTGCATCACATCAGAATATTTAGCAAAATGTGACCTTCATGATCACCTTTTCCATTCTCTCCCATCACCTTCCCCCATCTGGGTGCATGAGAAGTGGGAGCAGCAGCAGAATTCCTCCATTCCATTGTTAATTCAGAATCCTAGACACTGATTTTTATTCAGCAAAAGCACAAGCACTTCCTATTTGTTTGATGTCAAATAGTATGGAAATATGTACTATGAGGGTTGAAATATATAAATGAAACCTGAACTGTGAAGACAGGTAAAAGAAAAGCTAAGGAAGTCACCAGTATTTTGAGGATGAGAACCTCCCAGGACAGATTTCTGCCAGAACTCCAAAAGCCACCCTACCAGTCAGGAGCAAGAGCCACATTGAGCCCACCCATGCAAAGTGGTCACAACGTAACCACAGACATTATGTCTAACATCTTTACTCCTAGACAGAGCTGTGGAAGACCATGGACTTTCTCCCAAGACTGCAGAAAGCTTCTAATGCCATTTGTACCCATGAAGCTTAAGGCCAGTGTCTGCACAGGCAGACAAGCAGTACTCAAACCTGGCTGCACAGGAACTGACTTTTGGGCCTACGTTAGGATGACAACAGCCTTGGGGATTCCCTCCAGCCTTCATGAGCCAAGACCCTCTTCCGCCTCTATTCCCCCTTTCCTGCAGAGCCAGAGGTCAGGTCTTTGCTAAGAAAGGCCGTGATTAAACCAAACAGAACATTTCCACATGTAGGTAGTTGCTACTTTTCTACTGCTATTCCCCTGCCTACGCCCTGACTTGAGCCCCTGAAGCAGTGTACAACCCTGTCTCCTCTCACACTGGGTCCTGCACACTCATCCATGCAGCTATGGGTCACGACAGAAGTGGAACGCAAAAGGTCTCACCAGTCACTACAGTCAAAGGTCAGTGTGATTCCTAAATATATTCAAATATGCCCATAAAAAAGGCCACATTGGGAAAAAAAAAAAAAAGGCAAGCCGCACACAAACAAACCCAAAGCTTCTAGCAGTCTAGGAAGCCAAAAAATAGACATTCCAACCACAAGCATACATGGAGATCATTATAGTCAACGACAAGAGAGGGAGCACAAAGAACCCAAATGTCACAGCCACAGAAGCACCTGGCAAGACTGCCAGAGCAACAGCTTAGCCCTTCACTGCTATGAGGCCTGAAGCCAAGTTCCAGAAGAAAAGAGTTTCCTTTTTTTCCATAATCCCCAGGGCACCTTCCAGGGCTCCCCGATCCTTTACAGGGAGAGGTTCATGAACACAAGGAATTCATTACAAAGAAATATTCAGTAGAAGTCTAGAGGGTGCATGCATGGCTTACACTTTCCTCTACTTTAAGTAAACTTCAGGTAATAATATTAAATTTTGATCCACAGATAACAGAAAATACTCATAAGAATAAATGCTCTAGAGTAAAACACCCATTTAATAAGCTTCTTTTGTCCACCATTTACATACAATATGGCAACTGCTAGACTTCGATTAAAGCAAACATTTCATGTGTTAAAAATATTACATATTTTATATGAATAATATTAATTTTTAATTCAAATTAAAATGTAAACCTTCTAATAGCCTCACTTACTGGATGTTTGGCTGAAAGTCTGCCAGTCACAGTTCCTGTCTGATTCCACGTAGAGGAAATAAATCCCTGTAGTCAAGGAAAGCAAAAATCCTCCAAAATAAAAGGATGAAGACATAAATCTAAATCTTATTTAATGTAAGTATCAGTAATAAAAACTCACTGCAAGCTGGACTACAAAATTTTAAAAAAAGTTACAATTTTCTATATATAAAAGTTCTTAAAACTGTAAACACTGCAATCATTTCACACCCTTCTACAAGTTGTTTTTTTTTTTTTAAATACCAGGCCACCTTTTATATTTCTACCTTTCTCATGCATGTTCGTAGTCCATCCACGTAAGTTGACTTCATCTTATGAACCTAAGTTACAAAAACATTTAGACAAAAGCTTACTTAAAAAATAAGATTTTTTTCAAATTAAAGATCTTAATTTCTCAATGCATATTAACTTGTTTTGTCAACATTTTTAAAGAGTTTTATCCTTTATGTATACTCACTAATAGCTCAACCTATTCACATAAGTTAGGTAAATGCAGAGTTATACCTTAAAGCCAGGCCGTTGTGGATACTATTAAATTAAGTATTAGAATTTATTCTTTTGCATCTTACATTCCCAGGTCAATAAACTACACAAAAAAAAAGGCACACACACACCAAAAATCACCAGTTTTGTGTTAAGTCTTGGAAACTTATCAGCTCAAAACCCAAAAATTAAGTATGAGAGCAGACTAATTAGGTCATTTTGGATTTTCAGGAGGCTTGTCACCTAAAAAAAACCATAAATAGTTATCTCCTTCATTTTCTTTGAGGTATAATGTTTTGCCCTAAGAGTGTGCTTTATAGCACAAATTTAACAATTAAGTTTTCCAAGTGTTTTTGCAACAGTTGTTTGCTAGCTATAATCTAACATAGTGCAAACCAGAAGTATAAACATTAAATTTAAAAACCCTAGAATAACTACAACTCGCAAATTTAAATGAATATTTGAACGAACTTACATTAGTGGCAACTTTTAATTTATTTATCAGTCAATGTGTTCTCTTTCTTGCTAATTTTGCTTCAGTACAACTACGTTATGTGAAAAATATCAGCTCACCTGACGGTATTCTAAAATTATCTTTGGCAAAGGATGAAGATCTTGCAACTTATTTAGCTGAAAAATAAAGAATGTTACTGGTGTACTTCTTTGTTAAGTTATAGTATTCAACAATCTTAACAGAATAAGTTTTGGAGGAAGTTAAATACACAAAATACAGGCTAAAGAATAATATCCTTCAAGCAATCTCACCCAAAGCCTGAGAAAGCCTTCATTCTTTCCTGCCCTCAGCAGGAGGACTGGAGATTATCCCTTCCCATTTGATTTCCCTTCCTGTCCAAGACAGGAAGGAGAAGGGATGCATAAAAACGTTTCCACAACAGCTTTGAAAATGGTGGGGCATGAGGGGGTAGCTGGTTATAGTCTTTGTTCATTTTTTTGTGCTAGAAAGCATCTAAGCAAGAGACACAATAAAAGTATAGAAAATAACACATTTGCATACATACATATACACACACATAAAATCCAACAGAATTTCTCCTGTTCATCCCATATTACAAGTTCCAGAAGACTTTCAAGAAAAATTGAAATGGTCAAATCCAAAACCAATAAAATTAAGCATATTTCCAATTACTTTAATTACTTTAATTGGAAATTGCCATAAAATTTTGTTGAGAATAAGAATTAAATTATTCAAATAGAGACTGGAGATTTATAAGGACAACAAAAATATCTGGAACTACAACAGTTCAGAGTGAAAAATATGCAACTGTAACAGAATGGAGATCTAAAAGCATAAGGTTTTTTTCTTACTACAGGGAGAGACAATAAATACTAGATAATTGATCTTAATATATCTGCTGGAAGGTTTCAGCCTCCCTTTTATTAAATAACAAAGTCCCAACAATTGTTGGAAAAAGTACTGGATTAGATAAAAGCATTGATTTGATTACTGCAACAAACCTTATGCTCCCACAAAAAGGCATGCATTCTATTGCACTCATTCCTCTCACCTCCCAAGGCCTCCCTATCACTCTCCAAGATTACACACTCGATCTATGAAACCTCCTTCTCCTTCAGCAGTGTGTGACTCTTTTGGTTGTGCTGTTGACATGACCTCAGAGATTGTATCTGGTAGTTCAGACACTTGGGCCAAAAGCTGAATTTCCACTTTCACACATGAGAAACAAATATTACATTTCTACCTTCCCCAAGGTGTTCATTCTCAGCCATGAGCTGTGTATTTTAATTTGACTCCCATGTAAACTAAAGCAATACATTTGCAGCACCAAATCAGAAACAAGTGCAGCTACACAGAGGTTTCTTCTCTTGTGAGAAGGAATTCCATTATTATTATTATCTTAATATAAGGCAGGAGCATACCCATTTACTCAAGTCACCAAGAAGCCTGCAGTGTGGTCTTGATTTCATCATTTTTAGACAAATGTTTTTGGCAGGATTTCTGCGCTAGTGTGGGATCACATATGAACATCTGCACTGCCGAAAATTATCTGCTACCAGAAGAATGAGCTGGACAAACTTCATATAAGTAACATTTACTGCACTGAATCTGAAGATACATTTCATCTTATATAACTTAGGAGTCTCTCTAAATCATGCAGGTGGTTTTAAAACCCTTCCCCATCTCACCACAACTTCTGAGGTTGACACAAGCTGTTGTATTTCAGTTCTGTGAAGCTTCTCGCACAGAGTATGCAGTTTTAACTTTTCAAACAGTACCTACAGTAAGAAAAAACACAGAAGAGAAATGTTTCAGTGTTTCAAGTGCTGAAGCAGAAAGGAAAATCATTTGGTGCCTGAATTTAAGTATAGAAAACAGATTTCAAGTAAAATAGAGCATACCGTAGCAAAGAGAATGAACACAGAATTTAAAAGATTAAATCTTTTATTTTTGAGCTATTGAGAATGCAGTGTATTTGCTAAAATTAAATGCATATAACTTCCATAAATACATTCAAATACAGATTACCCAGCATTGACAGATAAATGAAAAATGGGTGTCTTCTACTAAAATCAGAAAATAAGATAATTATTAAAGAAAAAGAATTTTTAAGTTGTAAGGACAGTTTTTTATGCTTTATAATTCTTCTGTATCAATAACAATTTACAGAATTGAAAGCTTACATAATAATAGTAATATAAATATTACCTCTCTGAGCTGACTACTGCTGGTCAAAAGGAATCGTTCTCCAGCAACTTGATGAGCTTCCTGTTCAAGCTCTTTGAGTCGCAACTATAAATTAGTACATGAGAATTATTCTGTTTACATTACTATCTTCTTCAATATTCTGCTGCTTCCTAGGTTAATGACTATATTGGACTTCTGGTTAAAAATAGGGTACTAGATCCTGTGTAATCATTGCTGGCTATCAACATTTGGTTTGGTGGATTGCTCTATAGAATACTCTATATTTCTTCAAGATTTGGGAAGCAGATTTACTGCAGCTAGAAGTACCAAAATTTGTGAGAAAATAATTTAGGTTACTGAAAATTATGCAAATTATTCTGGTAAATAAATAACCTGTCAGACCACTATGATTATCTAGTCAGATTTTATGCTACAAAATGGCATTGTAGCTATTTTTATCAATGGGGAAATGGCAAACTTAGAACTCTCAGAACATGGAAGTTGTAAAGGGTTTTATTTACAAAGAAAGATAGAAATATCTCTCACTTCTCAGAAAGATGGTTGGGGATAACTATATGTTCAGGGAGAGTTGTTACCATTTTTACTCTGCAACACATTACCCAAAAAGACCTGTGCATTTTGCAAAGCAATCTCAGTTCTGGGGCAAAGCTAATGAAGCAAATGTCTCTTTTTTGCTAGCCTAAATAAGCATAGAAATATCCTAAAATGTTATAATAATAAAAATACTAGAAACCTCAAACTCTCGTGTAAGACATGACAAAACAAGAAGAATCGTCCTCTTTTTAATCAGTTATTCTCAGTAAAAGCAGAAAGATGATACTATGCATTTTCCAAAAGAATAAAGGGAAAATTTACCCCCAGAATCTCTGATGTTTTTTTCAGTTCTTGTTTGTTCACATGTATTTTGTGCGTTTCCATCACTGTAAATACAATTGTATACTAAGAATATTTACAATTGACAATTTTTATCTTACACACTTCTTAGACTGTAAAATGGAAACTCAAACTCACACAGCTGTTATGAGGCTAAGATAACGTTTAGTATTCTGAGGTATAACATTCTACTTGAGCATAGCCAGCAGCTGTGTGAAAACAGGGAAGATTCATACTTTGAACTGAACTTTCATACCTGCCAGAATTTTGATAAGTGGAAGCTCTAATGTGCAAAATAATTTCCACAAACCTTGAACCTGTAAAGCAAGATACAAATAAATTCTTCAGCATAAGCCAGTTATAATCTTAAAACATACAGTAGTGTCATTACGTGGATCTACTTTCCAGTAAGCAGTATTTCACTTTCTGTATAATCCCTTTTTATATGACAACACTGTTTGTGGAATGAAATACCACTTAGTGTGAATTATAGTATCTCAGTTCTGTAGTGCATTATCCCTTCATTTTGTGGGGAATAGTAATACATCTTGTAACAGTAATCATTTTATACAGGAATAGTTAAATAAAGAAATATACATTCCTCATTTTTCTAAACTGTTCTTTTTAGAGCAACCTCCATTATAATAGGACATACAGTTGTCCCTTTCTCTTTATGCACTTGAACAATTAAGCATCCATTCAGAATTAATAACTCTGTTTTCATTAGGAAGAAAATAAAAGGTGATAAGGTTACGTTCCCAGTTTAGTTACAAAGAACAGGAAACCTGTTCATTCTCTAACCACTGAAGCAATCGGACAGCAACAGTTGTCTAAAAACTCCTCCTGTAGACTGCCTCTCAGTGTTTCCGTGCCTTTGGTGTTTCCCTGTTGCCTTCCTTCACAGATTGTTTCATCATACTGCTGGGCTACTTAGATATCCAAATTAATACGGCTCCATCGACTCACGGCCTAAGCCCTACACTTGCTACCATCACTTTCAAGGAAAACCCCTAGGATCTGTGCTGTACCTTCCACCAGAACCTGAGCATGTCCCTGACTTCTGACACTTTTCCAGTTATATGATCACAGGGAAAAAACAAACACACACAAAAAACCCACTAAAAGATTTCTTGAGATGCATTCTGAACTGCAATTAGGGCTAGAATAGAATAGATTATTTCACTTGGAAGGGACCTACAATGATCATCTAGTCCAACTGCCTGAGCACTTAAGGGCTAACCAAAAGTTAGAGCATGTCGTTAACAGTATTGTTGAAATGTTTCTTAAACACTGGCATGCCTGGGGCACTGACCATGTCTCTAGGAAGCCTGTTCCAGTGTTTGACCAGTGTTTGGCTAATACAACCTAGAGCAATAGATACACTGAGTGTTTTTGTACCCAAGGAATACACCAAAAAAAAACCCAGCTACACTCTCATTTTAACTTTGTTAACCCTTTTTACACTGTTTCATACAGCTTTAAAATACTAAAAGAAAAGTCACAGTGCTCTGAACATTTCCTGGTCTGGGAATGTTCATTTAAATATTTAGTTAACTGTTGCAGAGGAAAAGTTTATTCTAAGATTGCCCTTCAGACTAACCCCTTCCTACTGGAAAAAATGTCAAATTTGATGGACAACTTTATTTTAAACGTTGACCAGCAATGTAAACCAGTAAGGATTGAAACCTTCTATTTAACTCGAGTATAGATTCCAGTTTAAATGTAAAGCACATCACTAACTCTCTTTAATTCATTATAACACCTCAGAAGTTATATCCGAGTAATTACTTTTTATATTTTACCTGTAAGTTGTGAGCAAGCTCCATCATGACATTATAAAGCTTCTCCAAGTTCACACCTAAGTTTTGATACTGATATAAATAAATTTAAGGAAAAAAAAAAAAAAAACAAAATTAAGAGTTTTAATGCTAACATAAAAATGTTTAGAATACTACCTATTTTAAAAGGGATTAAACTGTGTATTTTTCTGTATGTCTCCTGTTATATTTAACATTTTAGTAATGTTCTTAGACATCTGACAAACAGAATTCATGAACAGAGCAGTACAGATCATTAAAATTCAAGATTTTATCTGTTCCTTTATTTACATTTTGCACAGACTATGATGAAATAGTATCACTACACTGCCTTTTACACTGAAGTTGGAATTATATTACTACTAGTAAAATGAGGGAAAACTCCTTGCAATTTTCTTTTTCCTATCAGTACTGCCCCTCTTCTGTCCCTGAACTATTCACTTCCTTCCCTTGTGTTTCAGGTGTTCTCCAGAGTCATACCACCTCATTCAGTTGGCTAGAAGGCTGTTCTGAAATTCATACAGACACTGAGAATATGATTGTTAGCTCCAAGAACATGATTACTAAAAATAAACTTAATGCCAACCAATTAAATTTGTTATCAGGCTAATACACAAAATGTAAAGAGTAAAGTGCTGCTTTTCATTACTAAATTCATGTGAGGAAGGAGAGGAATGTAAAAAGTGCTTCAGACATACAATTTCTTTCCTGCAGCCTGTATCTTCACTGATGGCTCAACAAGTAAAATTAGGAAATAAATTTGTATCTAGGTCATTAAGTGCAAAAACATTAGCACTGTCCTGTAAAATTCCTGGGCCACAAACCATAGAACCTAGGAGAGCTTTCCAGAGGACTAAAGTTACATGCTTGCCGTCCATATACACTTCCCCAAGAATCACATTCTGGCCTTTGTTGGAGGCAGGAAAATAAGTTACATGGAATTATGCATGGTATGTTATGATAGTTCTTAGTTTATGTACAACAGTCAACTAATGGTGATTTGTGTAAAAAGAAGCACTTACTCCCTGTTGATAAAGACTGCTGAGGATATAGCTGAAGTATTGGAGTAACTTGGCCACAATACTTTTAGAAAGACATTAAGAATTGTCAGATAGGCTAAAGAAGAAAACCAAAAATAATAGTAAGTTTAGAAAACATGACCTACAGAGAAGGAGATGATCGGGTTCTACAAAACACCTAAGCTTACTATTTTATGTTGACAACATGAGTGCAATGTATATCACATGGAGGACTCATCAGGGCAGAAATTTTGAGGCCAATAGAATCCTAACCACTTCAGAAGATAATCTGGTAACACTCCCTGTTTCCTCCTCAACAGCCACATTGCTGGAACTGACCTAGATTTGGCTAGACTTTTGGTGAACAGGGCATTCCCAGATAATTTCTACTAAATGTATACATGTAGGGAAGGTTCAAAATAAATTTAAAATTTGCTTCCCAAATTAATTACATCTTTCTTTCAGGAATAGTAAAAAGTTAAAAAAATATATAAATTGACAGGAAACTAAATGGCCATGAAATCACATGGAAAGCTTCTCAATTTAAAAAGCACTGAGAGGGTTCCCTTGGTATCTTGTAAGAGATCTATCTCCAGGTTTATCATTCACCCTATGTGTATTTTAAACGACTCCTAACTATTCCATGCTCACTTTATTGTTTGCATTCCTATCTCAGAGCCGATGGAACGCTAAAAGCGACTCATGCTATGAGCTGCAGAAGTCTCTTTCCTCTACAGACCCGCAGCTATTCTACAGCTTCCTTTCTTTACTGCTCTCATGAAATATCTACAGTTGGGAGAAAAAGTCTGCTACAAAAGAAATATATTCTGCTTTCTCCACTCAGACTAAGCTAGAAAGCATTTTCCTTACCAGAGTAAGCTCTCAGAATTTACGCTACCAAATCTGACTTTGCTGCCCATTTCACAGTTTCATAGTTTTTATTTGATATATTCAGAATCTTTCTTTTGGTCCTGCTGTGATGAGAAGAAAAGGATGTTTCTACTTGTTATCAGATTAACACTCTAAGATTGCATAGAAAATGAAGACAATGCTTCAGTTTGAATGAAATGTCCTATATTTTTTAAAGAACAAAACCGAGAGTCTATAATCTGGAAGAGTATCTGCAATGTAACTAGATGCTGTATTGCTCTACTAAACTGGATGTCATTAAACTGTGAATTATGGAGTAAAACAGAAAGATTGCCATTGAAATTGTCGCCAAGAGTATTTTCTAAACAGGTCTCATGACAGAACACTGTGGTCCTCCAGAGCTTTTAATCTGTCCAGCCAGAACAGTAGTTCTTTTGAAGCAAAAACAGGTAAGAATAATCCAAGTGGTTGGGAAATCTCCAAAATCCTTCCTAAAGGAGGGTTTATACAGTCTAAACAGATCTCCAAATTAAGGATTTTTCTAAAATAGAAAAAAATCAAATTCATATAAAAATTCACGGATGGGCAGGATCTTCCACTCTCTTCAGGGAGGTAAGGACCTTTCTGAGTTTGTGAGAAGGTATCTCTGGATACCTTTTTCCATCTGAACAGGGTATTCTGCAGGAATTGCTCCCTGAGCTGGATGCCATTACCTCCTCCTTGTCATCAGGATGACTCTCAGAACCTTCTGGTTGTGTTTCTAGACAGTGAGAGCAGGCACGGACTGAGACACCAGTACACCTAAACAGTTGATCCTGTGCCCTCACAGTGCAAGAGTCAGCTGTAAATGAACAGGGAAATATAATCCATCCTCCAAAAAGTATATAAAAATCTGCCTTCTACACAAACTTCACAATTTTGGCCCACTGTTTGCAAAACAGCCCCATTATCTGAAGAAAAACAGAAGTCTGGAAGCAAAGTATCACAGCAGATGCAGACTGACAAGAGCAGTGCTTTATCCATTATTTGATCCAAGCAGAATACAGAAGGAATCCAAATTACTTGTTGCTGCACAAACACAATAGAACCAGAACTGACTGAAAATTAGTTTATATTAGGACAAATTATAACACATCATTGCTACAGAGGCAAGTATTCTGGTACTCAGCTGGGGAAGAACCATCACAGGAATTTTATCATATTGGTCCAACTAATTGCTAAGAGAAGTGCCGAGCGTTAACAGAAGCATGGGAGACATCTGTTAGTTACAGTGAGTTATGTTTCATTCTAAAACCAGAATTAACCCAGTTTTTGGTTAATTTTTGCTGCAGACGTTTTCCTACCACATACCATAAAGCAATGGGGGCACTAGTGTTGCAGTCATTCAGAACACACTTCAGCCTGGACCATAGTTGTTTTTATCTTGAAATGACCATATGACTCAAAATAACATCAGATAAAACTAAACAAATCCTACATAAACTGATGTCTGTTAGTGGGAAGAACATCCCAGCAAAGCCCCAGCTGCAGAAAAGAGTTAAAACGTGGCAGTGAATTCCCCTGACAGCCCATGCAGGTTCCCCATCCACTCAAGGGCTATTGGTCTGTACAACTTCAGCACTGTGTTGCTCATTTGTGAGTAGACAATATGGACACATACTGTACAGGCTTCCCTTCTGCCTGCTGTAGACTTGAGCACTGCATGGACAAGACCAGCACAATACAGAGGGAGCTCAGCTGAAGTAGCGTGGCACAAGCACCTGGCCTGGATCCCTCTGGGAGTACAGACAACTGTTAGGAACCTACCAGCAAAGTCAGAGCAAGAAGGCTGAAGAGATAAATCTGGCAAAGAGCTAGGATTCACTGAGCAAACAGAGAAGCCAAAAGAGTCCAGGGAAAAAAATTAATTGCATAAGGAACGGGGGAGAATAATTACAGGATGTTAGAGGGAGGCATTAACTGGGACTTGGGTGAGCAAGTCAGCATAAAGTCACTGGAGATGGTTGGGACAATGAAACAAACTAGACCTGAAATAGGGCAGGAAGGAAATAAGACTTCCATATTTAACTCAGAGCTGGGAATCACGATGACAAAGTTGAGAAATTACAACTAAGAACAGATGTGATACATGAAGAACAAAAGACTGAATCAAGCTAAGGAAAGAGACAAAATGAAGGATGCTGACTCTCAGAAAGGGACATCACATACAGAAATAACCACAAAGTTTATTGCTTCTGCCTCTCTGCCTGTCCATTTCCTACACTAATAGCTTAATTAAGTAGCTTCTGAATAACTGCAGTTTTCAGCTGGTGTTTTAAAGTAAACTGTCTCTGGTTTTCTCAGAAATGCCTATACTGATGAGTATGTGCTGATGCAACTGACCTCTGTTCACGCTCTAAGTCCACTTGACATCCGTGGATTTGTATCCTAGAAGCCCTATAATCATGTTACAATGCTTGTGCCTGAACAAGCAAGGCTTCTGAAAAGTGAAAGGTTTCAAAAAAAACCATCATTTATGTTGCTGCACATCAATTTTTATCATTCAAACAATAATCATGTTACAATGCTTGTGCCTGAACAAGCAAGGCTTCTGAAAAGTGAAAGGTTTCAAAAAAAAAATCATTTATGTTGCTGCACATCGATTTTTATTATTCAAACAACTTCTGAAGCCTAACGTGTCCGGAGCAGATCACCATGGCCCAAAACACAAATATTGAGATTTTATAACATTCAGTAAATAAGTTTCAACAGACAGCAAGACATTCCTAATGTGCTGGGAATAACTTCTCAAAAGTTCATTAAGCACTCCTCTTACTAAGAATAAAAATTCACATATTTTTCATACACATGCTTGAAGGTTCACATTTGACTCGTTACTCTTCCTCAGCCTACGATGTGGCATCTTTACCAGCTATGAAATTCAGCAAAATGGTTAACAATTAACTAAACACAGGCTACAAGTTCATAGGAATTAGAGGACAAAGCATTAGACATTTTGGAAAGGAAAGCTGGAAAACAAGTTTGCAAGGAGGTGAAATAAAAGAGAGCAGATTATATATTAACTAATATTGCTACTGAACTTTAAGGTTTTGAAGCAGAATTTTACAGCTGTTCCTGGAGAATATGATCTTAGTAGAATGCAGTGAACCTATCCTTGCTCCCCTTTCTTTAAAATTAGATTTCCAACAAGTAGTATTAATAATTTTATTCAATCAGAAAAGTATTATCTGTATTTTTTGGGTGTTTCATCAGCAAAAGCAACTCTTTCATTATTTCCTTCCTTTTTTAACCCAACCACAAACAATTTAAAACAAACTACTTACTGATGCATTTCTCAAAGCGCCTGTATCTGTATTTCCTGTTCCATCAGACAAAGGCTTTTCAAAATATTTCTGTATTAAACATTCAAAAGAGGGAACTGTGTCGCTGGGGTTTATCAGCCATGCTGCAATCCTTGGATCTAACACGACACTATCAGCAACTACAAAAATAAGTTATTTCTAACAGTTAAAATATTTAAAAAATTGAGAAATACCTCTAAGGTTTTGCCTATCTTTCCTTTAGGTTACCATCATAAATAGAAAAGCATTTCTACTAAAAAAATGTTAAACATTGAATGGGCACCTGTAACATATGGTCAATACAACGACTACACAGAAGTAAACTCAACATTGAATATTTTTCAAGAGGGTTTTTTGTGGTCTAGGGGGTTTTTGGGTTTGTGGTTTGGTTTTGTTTTGGGGGGGGGGGTTAAGATGTAAGTAAACCTTTGGTTCTTAAGATTGACTGTAAAAGATTCTTCCTTATCACTGAAGAATTTCAACTTGAAGTTTTTCTTGTGGGTGTCTCCCTCTCGTACAGTTTCACTGTTGCTGTTAACTTGATTGATAAACACAAAATTGCTATTTGGAGTCAGAGGAGAGGTTTACTTCCTAGCAATCAGACTCCTGAGATCTTTAATGTATATACAAATTCACATTGGGTGTAGAATGCATTGTTCTCAAAAATCAGAACCTTTTGTCCTACAGGATCTTATGTGCTTACACTGCGCTTTCTCTCATGTTCACATAGATATATAGGATGGAGTAAGCCTAGTGCTGTTTCATTGCCCTTTTAACCACAGTTTCAATATACGTTCTGCAGTATCAGAGGAGAGAGAAACTCGCACCTAGAATGCTTTGAGATATATTCAAAGATAGATATAAGTACCCTCTTCAGTAACCCCTAACCACCTAAATTCAAATCACAACCCACAGGTACGTTTGTAGATTAGAGAACTCCATGCTACCCAACCTTATCGACTCAGTTACCTGGAAGCAAGTTTTAATGTCCATAACGCAAGTTACAGCTCTAGGGCTATTCTAAAGAGAACCAGGCTTGTTCACCTCTACCAATATAACTTGCTAAAAATAACTTGATGTGGCTGCTCAGTAGATGTTAGGGAAGGAGACATCTTGCCCTGAATAAGCTCTGCTGCAGTGGGCAGACAACTGAAGGATATTTCATCGGCATGGTCAAATACCAGGATTTTATGTAGCTCCTTATCCTTTCTCTGAATGCAAACAGCTATTCACCTCAGAAGCTAGCAGATGCCAAGGAACGTCTTGGAAGTGTCCCAAGGATACCCTCCTGATAGTGCTACTACGAAAGTCTTTCTGTGATTGGAAGGACAGTCTTAGCCTTGGAATGGTGAAGGTTAAGAAAGTAGGTCAAGCTCTGAGTCCACTCCAAAACCAAGCTTTGGATGTGGCCACAGGAGTGAGCACACTAGTTGAAGAATGAGTGCAATCATTGAAGTGACCACAGTCAATATAACATACAGAGAAATTTCAGTGTTTGATTGATTTACAAAGATGGGATTTTATCTTAAAAAAGGCAGGGGTTGTGTGCTTTTTTACCACAGAAGAAATAATGGGTGAGGAAGCATCAACTTCCAAAGTTAAAAAAAAAATGAGACAAGAATTCTTTTGGATACTAGAAGCTTCAGATTCAAATCCTATGCATCAGATGGGATCTAACCTAGATCTGGTATTTCATGTGTACAGGTCATAAAACTGTCACTAGTGCCAATACCATGATGATGTTTCTTCCCCCCCTCTTCTCATTCCCAGGACTAAGTGTCTTTTGTGTAGATCTTCACACCAGGTTCTAAATCATCAGTTCACTGTGATTTCCTGATGAAACTTTTCAGATGCTGAACACAAGCTGAAGACTCTCCACAGAGCAAGTCTTTTCTGAAAGGTCACACTTAGTTTTGCAGTTCACTCATCTGATACATAGAACCAATAAAAAATAATTATTTTTACTTGGTTTTTTTGTAGTTTCTTTTAAATCCATGCAAAAGTGTCTTATTTGGCCTAATTCTGACGACTATGAAGACCTCTGGAATTTATTTTACCTTCTCCTCTTCAGCAGAGAAAGTTTTTCTAGGGAACACGAAACATGAAAACAGTTTGACCTTTTCAGCTATAGTCAGGACTGTATTGAGAGCTCTTACTTCCACTGGAAGCTATCCTTAAATTACTCAATGATTTGATACCTGCTCTGAGAAGAAATACATCTTGACCTGCCAAGCCTTTGGTCACAACCTCGCCCAAGAAGGCTGTTCTTCTCTATGGTACTAAAACTCTGGTTTCAAACATATTACTTAACCACCGATCTAGTCAGTTCTACACCTTGAATTTTTAACAGAAACATCAAAAGCAGAGAGATTATACAATTAAATCATAAATAAGATTAAAGTTACCTTGTTTCCAGCTAATTTCATTACCATAAACTTGAAGTAGAGTCCTCAGGAAATCCTTTGCATTGAAGCAAATAATCGGAACTTTGCGTTGTAGCATTTGAAACAACACTTGCCTGCACAAAAGCAGTTCATTAATTCACACTATATTGCTACTAGATTTAGTGAATTTCTGTAAAAATTCAAAAAGGATGTTTACCATACTAATGTCCAAAAACATACCAGATAAGAAATGCAGTTCAGGAAACATAAGATAAAAGAAAGGTAAACCCGGAAAACAATATTTTTTGGTGCCACATAGCTGTAAGCTCTTAATAAAGGATTTCTAGGTGAATGTAAACAGCTCCTACCAAATCCCAACCTAGTTCTGCAGAGCTGCTGTTAGTGATATGCTGACCCCAAAGGAATAGTCTGTTCTTATTTGGTTTGTATTATCCCAGGCTTGACACAGAACTAATACAGCTAATATGAAATTCAATAAGCTTGACATCTAAGGAAATTAAGCCAGTGCCGTGTAACCAGCACCAGTGTTGCTAAAAGCACACAAAAAGCAAAACAGTATTTTTCCCACATAGCCTCACCAAGCAAATTTCTTGGGAACCTGCTGTTCTTGTTCCCAAAGAGATGACCGTTCAGTTTTTAAATAAATTAATTTATCATTTTCACTAGCAGCATTCCAAGTACAGTCAGTTGAAGAGGAACTGGGAGAGCCAGGGAGATCAGTCCGATTCTTCACTAACACGACAACTCCTTTTACTGATGATGTTAAGACCTGTTAAGTATAATTACAATAGTGTTTTCTCTGACAGATTTTATGCAATCCTATAAAGAATATTTCCTAAATATATTACAAGATTAAACCTATTATGTACACTAGAGTTATTGCACGTGCCATTTACACAGTAGAGCAGCATGCAAGTGTTTCAGCCTTGAAACAAAAATCCATCATGACAGACATAGTACAAAGCAGGAAAAAAATATTCTAATTCAAACAGTCTCACTTTAAGTATACAAATGCCTGTTTAGCCCAAACAGTTTCATTTTCTTTAAGTTTTCTTGGTAACTAAAAATAAATTGTAGTCATAAGTATTAAGGTTTACCTCATTTTACATTTATATTTTGGTAAGCAATATACAAAACTGGTCCAGATTTTAGGCTCCCAATGAACATGGTTCCGTGTCATATGTACAGTTCAAATGCTTCTGCAAAACTGACTAAACAAAACACATTATTCACTAACCTGCTCTGAGTTGAGCTGTGAAGAACCATCTTGAAATATCATAGTAGTTACAAAAGCCCCTGCCTGTTCTATAGTTGCAAGCAATTCTCTTTTTTCTTCACATCCCAAACTCCTGATATCACAAGGATAATTTTCAGAAGACTCTGTTTGTCCAGAAGTACAGTTGTATCTTCTCTCATGTGAAGAAGTGTCGGTCTTTACAGGTAATCTTTTTGTTTTCTCTGAACAAGTAGGCACATCTTGCTTTCTTTTAAGGGGAGTAGCTATATTCTTTTCATCATGCTTTAGGGTTTTTGCTCCTACTGGAAGATCCTTTTCTCTATATCTCCATGTTGACAAGTCTAAATCCTGGTAATAGCTCACTGTTTTGGTATCATGACAGTAAAGTATTTCATCACTATGTACTGTCCTGACTATGAGACCAGCAGTCCCGTTTTCAGGGCTGGCAGGTGTTTTTAATAAGGCAATTGTAGAATCATGAGTGTCCTGGAAAAATTGGAAATTTTTTAGTGAACCACTTATTCAGCTTATTAGGAGAAATAAAAGTAAATGTACATGAGTTAATTTAGATAAGCTTTTCAGGAAGTGATATTCTATGAAAAAAATGTTGATACTAACAAAACAAAAAGTCAGTTTAGGGGAACGACATTACATAAAACAAAATTCAAGTATTTATCAGTAAAGATTATTTTGCTGATTTACATTGCTTACATCCAAAACCAACACCATTTTTTTAATCTTAGTCCAACACTAAAAAATGGCAAATTAACAACTGTTAGATGCATCTAGTCCAGTAGCCTGTTTTCCATAGTGACTAGGTTATTAGTGACCTTTGGAGAGAGAAGAGACCATTCATTTCCACCTTTAGCTTCATTATTCAGATCTTTTTTCATAACTGCTTAGTTTATTAAAGAACTTTCGGTAAGGGACCATAATGACTGCTTTGGAAATTCAAGTATGCTGATTCAGTTGGATCTCCACCAATTTCTTCAAACAACTTACAAGATTGCAAGACATAACAAAAACATATCTGAAAGAATATATATAAAAATATATATCTGAAGAATTATTATCAGGTGCACAAATAAGTATTCTGTTCTGTTTAAGCCACTAGGCCCAGAACAGCTTTCCTACTCCAGATAGTCCCTGGATCCCTGTACAGCAGCATGCTATTAAACACACAAGCAATAAGTTGCATAGTAATATTATGATTCTACTCCTCCATCCTTAATTTCCTTCAGAAATTTCCTTGGTATGCTACTGGCCCTAGTATTTTCTTACTGTTTCTTAGTTTCTTCTACAACCTCTTCAGCTGAGAGAGATCCTCTGTCTTGATTTCATAAACAAGGACTCTGGAATGGCAACTGATAACCCTCCCAAGATTCCCCAAGGTAAATGTGTATTTAGCTATTTACAGATACACAGAGTTGTATCTTCCCTCAATACTCTTCTTACACCTTGATCATCAACAGGTTTTACAGGAGCTGGCAAGCTTTTGACTCCTGAGGCATTTGAAAAAATGATGTATTATTAGTGATGCATTTGAAAGCTGTTTCTCAAAGTCTGTTTGGACTATGCTATTGTATATTTCCACATAACTTACCCAAAAGAAGCAACTATAAAAGAACACAAATTCTGCTAAGTTCAGCTTTTTGCATGATGACATTTTTTAGTTGTCTCCTTCACGCTGTTGCTTAGCCATACCTGTTTTTTCCTGGACAGATTTTAATATTTGTTTTAAGTCTCCAATATCCTGTTTTGAATAAAACCCTGTAGTATGTACAAATGTTCTGGGTTTGGAGGTGAAATTTCATATATTTTCTCTTAAAACCACCTTCATTTTTACGTAATTTCCTTTTTTTTTTGAAATAGAGCGTTCCTGTAGTGACTTATCTATCTTCTAATGCCTCAGGAAGACTATAGACCCTGTCAGAGCATCTTTTAGGAGGAAGATTTTGAACCTGATCTCATACCGAAACAAATAAAAAACAATTTCTCTTGTGAGTTGTCTAACCATTCCACAAAGCAGTTGTCTCCTAATGTCTCAGCATCACACAAGTGTAATACTCACCCACTCCATTGAAAAGTAACTGAAGCCTCTCCTAATTACTCTATTTTCTGCTCTTGTAGCACAGCCAGTCTCCATCAGTACCTCTGCTGTCATTACCATTCCAAAAACTAAGGCCTTCTCACTTCAAAAGAACCACAAGTTTCTGCTGTGCCAGGCTCCCATCCATTCCCCAAGACACCAGTTTTCACCAATCAAAGGATATCATCCATCTCTATTCACTCTCTATTGATTGAGCAAGGCATCATGACATAGACTTTTTTTTCTGGTTTTGCAATATTCCCCAACCAGGTTCTTGTATTCCCAAACCTCAGAACTACAGAGTCGAAGGATGAAAAAGGCTTAGACTGCTTGAGATCATGCTTCACAGGATAAACTCTACATCAAAAGTACAATTAACAGGTTCTAAGTAAACAGAAAAAGGGAGTTAATTCAACTTTTGCTACTACCAAAATGAATAGTGGCTGTTCTGAAAGAAAACAAATTAATTGCACTTAGGCAATGCTAATCAAAAAGTAGACACTATAAAAAGCTACTTTAAGTGGAAAAACAATATCACAGAAGGACCAAACGTTTAAGAGCTGTAGAGAGACAACTAATCCACTCAAATGTATTCTCCAGTCAAACTGCAAATACTTGTATTGTTTAACACAGTCGAATTTGAATTAGGCCACTCAAGCAATTATACAATCAGGAATAAGCAATTCTCTTTGAAAAGATGCAAAAATAAGAACAAAACAATTTAATTATCGAGTCAGAATAATACAGCTGGAACTACAATTAACGACAGAGAGAAGCAGCAGCTTCCAGGAAGAACTAATCTGCTAGAAATAATGACATAGCTGGAAGTAGAAAAAACTCCCGGGATGCAGTTTCATAATTTATGTGGATGTAGAAAAATTTCACTAGATGCAATGAGTCCAAATTAGCAATTCACCATCACAAAAAGGGGTTCCACTACTATCCATCTGCACCCACAGCTGCATGTCCATCTATGAGACAATTTAACTTGTAGGAAAATGTCCCAGCCCACAAAAGAAACCAAACAGTTTTCTGCATCTTGAGCAACCTAAAGGGACTTGAACTGTGCAACATGCACAGGAGTCAGAGTACGGAAGACTGTGAAATTTGCAGGTGGGACAGGAGTGCACTTGCAGTATTTGCAACTCATTGATAACTCAATGGATCTCACAATCACAGCCTGAGTGGGGGCTGCCGCAGTTATCCATTCCCATTCTTGTACTGGCACTCACTCACATGCACATTAAAGAAAAATCAGAGAGATGATTAAACCAAAAATAAACTTCCTAATACAAAATAATTTTGCGTATGACTCGGCTCACTTCATGATTATGTCTTAGTGACTGTTCAGTGACAGAGGTATGAGAACACTTTTAAACCCTGGTAACTATCTAAACAAGGCAACTTCATTTACTTCCGATCGATCTGTCGCAAAAGACTAACTTCCTATGAAAAGGGTAACAGAAGCAGGGCCAAGATTCTCATAGGTAAATGAGAGTGCAATTTTGGCAAGAGCAAAATAAGACAGAGGAAATTTATCTGAACTGTGAATGTATGCAATATATTGTAATAAAGCTTGTTATGGAAGAGCCAGCCTACAACAACTTCAAACCTGCTATAAAAAGACTGCTTTTAGCAGTCTTCAATCTTACAATATGCTTGCCTTTTCATTTTTCAGATGCACATCCTTATCACCTAGCTCATTTTCCTTTGTCTTCTGTATACCTTTAAAAAAAAGAATTAAAAACATTTTATAATACAAGTGAACCCGACACAGTGCATATAACTTAGGTTCCATACAGTGTTACATTACTGACACTTTTACCAAACATAAAATAATTGCAATAAAATTTTCCATGACAACTATTTTCCTCAAATTAATATCATTCACGCCTAAAAGGGCCCTGCAGGTTCCTAAATACTCATATGCAAAAGGACACTCTGTCCCCATTAAGAAAAGATTAACTCAAATTTGCTACAAAGCAGACATTTTCCACGGTATTCAGAAGAGTCATTACTATGATACCATAAATATGCATCTTTCCTTCTTTCAAAAAAACACATCCCATCTTGGTCAAAGTAACGTTAGGGGCATGACTAAGAAAACAAAACAAAAACCACCAAACTACACACTTTACACAGTTCAACTGTTTTCTTGGAACTAGGCAGTATTATTCCACAATAATTTTCTTCAGTAAAACACTATTTGCATATACATCTTTCCCATACCATGCCCTCCAGAGAACTGACTATGCTTCATCTGCAGAGGATAATTTTTTCACGTTTTTCGTCCTCGTGCTAGAACAGGTATTGTAAGACCAGACAAGAACAGAGAGCAATGAGAATTGAGACTCATCAGGCTGACAAGAGGCAAAGTAATGAAGCAGAAGGGCCACCAGTGCTGGGTCTAAGATAGAGACCTGTCCCACAGCCTGGGCCCACCACTGAACTACCAGTGACGCTTAGCCTAAAGCTCTGAAAGCAGGCAGACGCTGGAGTTTAAGGAAGGTTTTCTAAATGTACCTCAGGACTCTGCACCACACTAAATGAAACAGTTAGGACATGCCTTCTCTTTTCTGCCCTCAACACTGCCCAGTAGCCCCAAAAAGAGGAGAAGCAAGTGAAGGCTGGAATAAAAGAACAAAGAGCAACAAGCTAGCAATAATTACAAGGTCAGTAGGTACAGAAAGAGGAACAGGGAAAAACTCTACTGAAGTGCGTGTCTCTCCAGAGTTTGCAATTAGGATTCCTTTATCTCAAGACTCTTTTACTGCCCAGCCAAAAGACACCTCATGTGCAGAATATGTATTTTGTCCCCTTCTAACTCCTGCTCCATATTGAGTATAACACTCCACTGCTGTTTTCAGCTATGAAATTTGCATTACTGGCAGTAAGACACCTACATCTAGTGTGCTGATGAACAATGTCAAACAAAGCATAAGGAGAGCTATCATTATTTACTGAAACTGTTTAAAAAAAAATGTCAGGCAAACAAGCACCCTGTACTTAAAACACTAAAATAAAAAAAAAAATAATAAATTCAAAGACTAACTATCTTAGTCTCCAGAAGAAACCACGCTTATTACTTCATAGTATTACATGGAGGTTCACATTGGTGTAAGTGTATAGTCAGTTTTTATCTCCAGCTCAGACTTCTAACCTGAGCTGTTAGGATAGCAAATACTGCATAACTGTATCTGTAGCTTCAAACATTTTAGGTTTGGTTTTCTTGACACTTCCTACAACAACAAAATCAGAATTTAAGGATGATACTAACTTAGGTTACATTCAGTGTTTTTAATTGCTTAACCACTAGACAGTTTTTCTTGACAAATTCACCCTCCAGAGATGATGAGGATTACATTTCTCTCCTTCAGCACACAGTATTCAGTATGACAAGTACCTAAGACCTCGAATTTCTGATTTATGAAAAAGTATCACCAGATGGCAGTAGAAACCCATCCTTTCCTTCAAACTCCTTCAGGCTAGACAGAACCATTACAAGCTCTACTGCCAAGATAACCAGAACTTCACCTGCTAGTTCAACATTGCAGATATCCGCCCTATTTGAACACAATATTTACCTTCTAAAGACAAAGTTTTTCCAGTAAGTAGAACTTAATCTTTGAAGATCTATCAATAAAATAACAGTTCAATACAGTTTAAAACAGACCAACTAACATGACAGGTTTTGTTTTTTTTACAGGAGGCAAACTTTTTCTTCTCTCAAGATCCACTCTGATCAGCTGAAGCTATACATACAGCAAATTTCCCAAAAGCAATTCAAGTAAACCTATCCTTAAGCCTGTATGATAGAAACAATTGTGAGAAATTCCTACATAGAAAGAGCAAGAAGAGCTAGTCATGTGACCTGCCACCAGTAAATGCTTATACTGTTCTTTCACTCCCCAGTGAATAAGGATTTAGCAGTACTACAAAGCAGACAGCAAGCTCATTTTGCTAAAGACACCAGACACCTTCATAGTTGTTTTAAAAAGCGAATCTGTAATTTCACAGCTTGAGAGAGAGTGATTGGATCAAGAGCAGACAATACAACATATTCTAGATATCACACAGTACAGAGGGTTCCCAAGTCTAAGACAAAAAATATTACACAGGAAAATTAAGAAAAAAGAAAATGACAAGGAAGCAAGAGAAGTAGAATAGCAATTAAAGTGAGGCTGAATAAGAAATCTGATTTTCCTTAAAATAGTGTGCATTTTGGTCCAAATGTGCCATCATAAATGAAACCATCCCATACTTCTTCAAACGTGTATCACTGATTTACACAGCAATGAACTATTACCCTTTTCACTGCTACACCAACAGTCTCCACTGATCCAATACTTTACTACTGAAAGAAGAGCCAGAACCGTTATTTACGTAAAACTGAGGCTGCAACAAACACCATGTATACAGGAACAAATACTAGATTTCAGTTGCATCCATCAGGTCATATTCCAGGGTGTAGTTCTCAGGAGAAAACAGAGAACTGAAACCGAGCAAAAGTCTAACTTTCTATCTGCTTCTTTCAAGAGGTACAGTACTGACAGACTATGAAGTACACAGAACTGAGAATAAAAATTCGATTTTGCAAAACCTCCCTTGTATCCACAACATTCTGAGTAAGATTTGCTCAACAGAGTCAAAGATCTGCTGGGGCACTTTTAACATTACGTAATCTGCTCTACCACTGACACTTTTTTTTTAGAATTTCACAAGGAAAGAGTTGCTAATGAACATGTCTTTAAAGGACAGACATGAGTCTGGAGAGTTCACAGGCCTTCTGGCAAATTCCCAGTACCTTTAGTGAGGTATAGGATCTGGTCCAGAGTCAAGTTAATGTATACATTTAATTTACAGTATTAGTTAATTAACAGTTTGAAATTCTCATCTACTTCTATACCACATAGCAGGAACAGGAGGGGGAAAAAAAAACAAACCAAAATTGAGTTTACTGGTAATATCCTAGTTCCTTGCACTTACATAGAGTTATTTAATCAGAAAAGTCCCAGCAAATGTCACAGTTACAGCTTAATTCTTTTTCTAAACCTGGAAACCTAAACTCTCACCTTTTTTTTTTTTTTTCTTCTTTTTAAATAGGGACTAGAGGTTTGATGCTGTTTTGTTTAAGTTTCAGGTTTTCAACTGAAAACAGAAACACTTTAATAGGCTAAGATTTACTCACTTTGGTTATTCTTTCTGCTAGTCTGAACTTCTCCTACAGGAATAGACTGCAAAGCTGTCATAATCCTCTGAGCAATATCAGATAAAGGCACTTTAGAAATCTCACATCCTATGTATGAGGTGTACTGTTCCATTTTTGAGATCAAACCTAAACACAGAACACACAAATTATGCATTATATCAGGGCCACAGAACAATCTGCACTTATATTCTGTTAAAATAAAAACAAAATATAGTGAACATATTCAGTCACTCATTCTCCTCAAGAGAAAGCGACATTCTGTCCCTGATACGCCTATCAGTTTAAGTATTGTAAATAAAAATTAGCAAATTGTAGTAATTTACAGAAACCACTAGATGAAACTACTTTGAAAGTGCTTTAATACACTGATAAAAAAAATGAAGCAGTCCTATTAAGTAAAGCTAACTTCTAATAAAAACCATCTGACAAATAAAAGTCATAATTTACATCTGAAATATCCCCCCTTTCCTCAACATCTTTAAACTATTCTATTATTAGCATATCCATAAATGTACTGTTATTGGTGATCGGGTTTTATCAAGGAAAAAACCTTTCAAGTAACTACCAAAATAGAGCCAACAAGATGAAAGTAACAAGTGTTACTATGATATACAAACATTAGTGATGTGTTGTTTCAGAAAATACATAACTCTAATCCTTAACCTTTGTATAATGGATGTACTCAATTACTATTAAATATTAATAACATTAAAATAGTTACTGTAGTTTATCTATTAATGTAAGAAAGAGGTCAGCAACATCTAAAGTCTCTACACGCTTTGACTGCAGCTGTTCTAAATTTTATCCTTTTTTGAAAAGCAGTCGCTTTTCCAGTTGACCTGTAGCCATATTCTGTAACACGTACAAAATATTTGGAGAGCCCCTAGATACAATACATATGGGAAAATGAGAAACAACAGTGTTCAAACTGATGACTTTGTTGACTTTATATCATTAGAACAGAACAATGCATACAACTTACCACAAACACAAAATAGATCCCCAACATGTTCAAAATACTTAAAGGATTCAAGCTGTACACATCAATTGCTTTACCAAAAACTGCTGTTAAAGAAATTATTCCTCTACAAGTTAATCACTGGCGTCCTGTTACCCAGGTCTTCTCCCACTATATCCAGTGAATGATTAGACTTTCAAGTCAAGATTAACCATCAGGTAAACAATATTTCCTTTGCTTACATGGAAATATTTTTCTTAGCTCAAGACCATAGGCAGATTGCAAGTTTGAGTACTTGCAAGTACAAACATTTGTATCCAGATTCAAAGAGGAACATCCATCAGACTGCATTAGTTTCGGCTATACCTATCTAGCTCAAATTTTATAGTAAGCATGCAAAAGGGAGAGAGGCAGAATGGCTCTTTTCCCTGACATTCCACGAATCAAAAGCATAATTTTTTCCCATGCACAACTCTTCCTAACCGTTATAATTAAGAGCAACGCTTTTTTCCTACACAGGGTAAAAAGGCTCCCTGACTTCTCAGGGTGGGAAGCAGCAGTCTTTAAGCCTCAGGGACATATCAAAATGAGAATCTAGCAGACCAAATATAAACAAGACACTATGCATGAGAATATGCCTATAACCAAAGATTCACCACAAATATTGACAACACTGAACTGAATTTATAGTGTTTGGCATTTAATAATAAACGCAGTGTATAAAGTTAAGCAGCATAAAATCCAGATATAAAGACATCCAACCAGTAAGTTAAAAAAACAATAAACATTTAAAAATAAATTATACTCACATAGAAGTTAAAAGTTTGCCATCAAAATAGTTTTAACTCTATTGTTACGAAAGTTAAAGCTAACTTACTAACGTTCCTCAATATGTACAATGCTTGGAAGCAAGCACAGCTGATCCCATCAAAATATAAAAGACTGCAAGTTATCATACTATAAAAGCCTATTTAGTTCCATTGGTATATTAGAAAGCTATAAAAAATTTGATAAACAGTCTAACAATGCACATGAAAGCAGAAGGATGAAAGCATCAGGATGCTGAATTGAAATGCCTATCATTATAAATTATAAAGCAAATTCAGAAGTCCGAAAGGTAAATTTAAAATTCTTTTTCTTTGAAGAGCCCAGTATGAGTATGGACTGGTTTCAATGGAGGGAACAGCCCATAAGTTAAGAGATATCGGAATGGTCTTAAAACAGATGGTCTTGGTACTTGAAACAGATTCTGGTACATATTCTAACACATTTTTAACAAAACCAAATCTTCTTAGGAAACCTGTAAGGGAAATAATCACACAATATCTGCCTTGGAGAATTCTTCTCTTCAGAATGAGCACATTACATTCATGTTCCAAAATCTAGAATGCCTTCTCTGCATTTGTTTTTCAGTTCACATAACAAAGTTCTTAGCATGCAAGAAAACTTATCTCAAGGGTATGAAATGTTCCTTTCTGTGCTATGCTGTGTGGAGTGGAAATCAAGATACAGGCTAGCAGAAGGGCAGCCTGAATGTAATTCATTCAAATAACCAATGTATTACCTCATATCAAAGAACTTTGACAAAACTGAGATTTTAATTCAGTGGGCAGATGTCAAAAGCCATAAAGCAGCATACAATCCAAACTTGGTAACTGTGGCAATTAAACATACATTGCAATGATAGATAAATATTAGCCTTGATAAGCTAATACTTATCATTCCATGAACTCATAGACAGTTTACATTAACATGTTTTCCTTTCTTAAAAGTACATTGACGTTCAAACATTAAGAACTTCACTGGTGGTGAAATTCTAATCTTCCAGACCACTGGCTTTAGCCTCAGACTGCCGCTCAAGATTCTCCACCATCTCTTTCAGCTTGTCTTGGTCATTGAAAAAATACACATACAAGTTTCTTTCCATCTGATGCAGCTTATTGGACTCTAAAAAGTTTCTCTTTGACTTCACATCAGCAATCAGATCCATAAGGAGTTGATTTAGTTTATTTAAATCAACTTCCAGTAGACGAAACTGCTCAGTAAGTTCCTAGCAAAAAAATACAAGACAAACAATTATTACTTTTATATTGTTAACACACTATCTGAACTAGCAAAATTTTTTGCTTTTGGAAGCCAGTTTCATTTGTAAGTGGAAGTCATCACAAAAAACAAAAACACAGGTGACAAGGGATTCCATTCAATTTATGTAACTTTTGAGCTCCATGTAATGTTACTCGCATCAGGTTATGAAAATGTAAATTAATTTCCTTGTTTACTAAATCTGATGAGCTCAGAGCATAAGAATCAGGCCCGCAACTAGACAGATGGTTGAATGACATTTTCAGTCAATTACAAGTCTTCAGAGCTAGTAAAATCTTAAAAGGGAACAAAAAAAGCCACAACAAAGACGCCACTTCAATTTTAAAATTAAATCATTAGTTACCAGCTACAATTTTCCCAACTGTCATTCTCTTGATAACGTGCAAGTAGATGACTAGCCTGCTTATTTCCTTAAAGGAATTACTTTTCTTGATAAACAGGAGCAATAGAAAGAGATGTCACTATGTTTTAAGAGGTAACGTGGATCAATAGAAAGGTATTTGATTGATTTAATAATGTGTAATCCCTAAATTCTCATTGCTCCAATTACAAAGTTTAATTTTTTAATAAAAACTGTTATATATATTGCAAATTCACTTGACAGATGGAAGTATTAAATATATTTTTATGTATTTAACCAAGGAAGTACTATGTAACAGAAGACTTCCCACAATCCGCTTTTGAGATATCTACAATTACTTAAAACCCATGACAAGTTGCATTTAACAACCCATATTCCCATTTAAGAGAGGCTCTAAACCCAACACCTTGGAGCTCTGAAGCAGGATTGTCCTACTACAACTGTCCTTCAAAATTCTGATATCCTTATTTTGTCCAAATGAACCACCCATGGCCAGGCTTTTTAAGGGGCTAAACCACACTATTCGGGCGCTACAGGTAACAGAGGACAAAAAGCCCATCTGAAACACAGAAAAATTTAAATGAATCCTCCAGTGACATCACATCCAGATGACATATTTCCCACATGATAAACTTACTATGCCTTTGAAAGAAAAGCTAGATGCAATCAATTATTTGCTCAGAAACAAAAAAAATTATCTGCCAACATTTACAAAAAATCTAACATTTGCCAAGAACAATGTAAAGACTGGGCCCATCGACATTATAACAACAAATTTGTTGCTGACACATGGGAGCCAGTTTGTGTGTCTACACCCTTCATACTACATTTTTCTCAGTAAAAGAACATGAGACACATTAATGTAATAATTTTAATAACTAGATAAGGGCTTACCTGACTACCAAGTTGTATTCTATTTCCTCCACGATACAGAGCATCATGAAGGGTATCTACACCACTTTTTAACTTGGACAAAAGGATAGACTGTTCTTGAGAAGATGCTGCTAGCTGATCTTGTACTGTAGCACAGTCCTGCTTTAACTTCTGAGCCATCTGCTCCAGGTTTTCATATGTTTTAAACAATTGCTGTTTTTTATTTTCTCCTTCCAGAAGCTGATATAGCCTGCAACAAATTAAGTTAGATACACAAGCATTTTTTAGTTTCCTAAGCACTCCCGGCATTATCAGTCAAGAGAAGATGTTCACGTTGAGAAGTCAGAGAGAGAACTAGTAAAGCACAGTACTGCTCACGGTACTTTTACTGCACTGCTGTATTGGCCACTGATTTAATGATTCTATCTATATATAGCTAGCACGTGGTTAATAGGACTCAAAAATAAGTAAATTAACAGCAGTGAAATACCAAAGTAACAGTTAATAAATACACAATGAATGCCAAGAGAAGTTGACAATGTGCTTTTGCCAACTATTTCTCTACACTTCAAGGACAGTAAAGTAAGATCCATTTTTTTAAGTGCTGAAAACCAGCTAACTTCAATGGGCAATGAGAAATAAGAGAAATCTTTATGACATTTTCAAGCTTCTTGGAGTATTTCCTATTTTCCATCTATGAAAAGACTGATAGAAAATTCTTCAGTTAGTTACAAGTCATGCAAAAGACAGCAATACTTAATGTACCAAACCATACCCTTACACTGCATCAGAAAGAGTCTCATACAATTACAGGTAA